TCGTGTTTCCCACTCTATGCGGACTTGATAAATCTATACCATAAGTTGCTAGCAAATCTAAAAGGTGAAAGGAATTGTGACAGTGATTTGAGGTCAAGAACAATCAGAATTTGCCAAAGAAACACAGATATAAAGAAGGAAATGTACACTTAAGCTGAAGTAAGCGTATTGTTTTAAGTTTTATTAGAAGTAAAGATGGTTTTGTAATACGCCGTTTTTGTAAAAAAAAAATTGAAATACATAATTTAGGTTTCCCTTAATCTATGAATTATAATCATCGAGTTTAAATTTAAAGTTTGTAAATTTAACATTTCAAATTAAATGTAGACCATCGTGTGGTAGCTTTGTGAGAAAATCCCCCCATTCTGTCTTATGGGCGCCGGAAGACATGGGAAACCTAGAAAGATTTTGAAAGATCACGATAAAACCATCCCGTTTACACCACTCTTAAAATATCTAGACCATTGAAGAGGTAAAATGATGCAAGAAGTTTGGTACGGCAATCGCTAACTGTTTAGCCAATTATTTTATATAATCGCTATGCTTGGCAAGCATGACTGTATCATGCTTGCCAAGCATAGCGATTATATAAAATCTTACCTATAGAGGGAAAACCCCCGAATAACAATCTACCGACTGTTCAATAATAACTTTTACAGACCGGTGGAGAAGATAAGTAGTAGAACTTTAGAACAAAAGTATGTGTTTAGGCCAAATCTTAACATTTAAAACTTCCATTCGGGGCGCTCGTCTCGGCGCGTCATCCGTTGGTGTTTGGGTCGCGTAGGTGCGGCCGGCGTGGGCCGGTGGGCAGTCGTTTCCAGATAGTCTGCAAACGCTCGAATTATTAAGCCGCGTGACGACGCCTCTTATTGCGTTGTCTTTTTTGTGCGTTTACGTGACAACGAGGCTCTTCTTTAGTTTGAGTGATTAACTTAACTTCGATTGCCATTAATTTGCGTCGACGAGTTGCTTGTGTGGCATTTTAATATCGTACGAAGACATTTTTCCTTTGTCGGTAGAACGCTAAAAATTTGTGACCCGAGACGAGATCGCGTTCGACTTCGATTATATTATGTGTTATTGAAATGTTATAGTGTATATTAATGATGTGCTAAGTGACGTCGGACTTGAGTTTACATAAAGGTGAACGCCCTACCAAGTGATCGCACATCTTTGGGGGCAGCGCAGCGCATGTGGGTCTGCTGTCCGATTACATCGGTGACGTCAGGTTACATTTACACACTTTCTCACACCACTTACACTACCATTACTTAAACCCTGACTGTACCGTGTGGTCGACCCTACCTCCGGAACTCGGCAACTTTGTGTTTGCTTATCAGCCATTACATAATAATTATCCATAGGCCATTTGGGCCCGATCCCTCTGGTTGCTCGTCGAGTGGTCTACTCATGGGCCCTAGTCCAGTCGACTTCAGTCGGGGCAACTTAGGGCCGTAACATTTTTGGTAGCAGAGCGTGATTTAGGGTTTTTTTTTTGATTTTCCAACAAGGAGTAAACCGTCCTTGTTGGGAATTTATTGACAGTTTTACACAGTGAGGTTTACATAAAATTGCTTAAACTATATTGCATGTATTGTTAATCTCTAAGACAAGATAACGCTACATCAATGCGATTTGATACATTGATGAGGTATCAATCTTCATCATATTATCACTTACATATTTATTCAACACAAAATGAAATTAATAGTAACAAAGCAAGATCTATTGTTCGTATGTATACTCTAAACATTATAACTTAATTGCAAATTATTAAAAAATATATTATGAACATGAAATGAAAGGGATTGCCTATAGAAATACAAAATAATATAAGTAAAATACAGGGTATTCTTGTATGGACGGTGGACGGTGTGGCATTTTAATATCGTACGAAGACATTTTTCCTTTGCCGGTAGAATGCTAAAATTTTGTGACCCGAGAGGAGATCGCGTTCATCTTCGATTATATTATGTGTTATTGAAATGTTATAGTGTATATTAATGATGTGCTAAGTGGCGTCGGACTTGAGTTTACATAAAGGTGAACGCCGTATCAAGTGATCGCACATCTTTGGGGGCAGCGTAGCGCATGTGGGTCTGCTGTCCGATTACATCGGTGACGTCAGGTTACATTTACACACTTTCTCACACCACTTACACTACCATTACTTAACCCCTAACTGTACCGTGTGGTCGACCCTACCTCAGGAACTCGGTAAGTTTGTGTTTGCTTATCAGCCATTACATAATAATTATCCATACGCCATTTGGGCCCGATCCCTCTGGTTGCTCGTCGAGTGGTCTACTCATGGGCCCTAGTCCAGTCGACTTATGTCGGGGCAACTGAGGGCCGTAACAGTATATATTCGATTTATGCTACCATGCACTCAGTATTGACTCTGCAATATTCGGCTATAAATAGTTTTTTATTTTTCAAAATAAACTTTATTACCGCAGTAGTATTAAACGCTAGGTCGTAGCCAAGATTGATTTGTACCTGATTTCATGTAGTACGTGTGTTGGAAGCATAATAAATCTCTAAACATTTTGAAGAAAAACAATAAATAACAACTTAAGTCAACGTAATATAATTACAAAATTAAATTACTTTAACAAAATTAAATTATTTTAATTGGTTTTGCTACTACTGCACATTAAAATACTATAAATCAAAGTGCTACGCAGCACACTGTACTCCTGATAGTAAGTAGATGCTGTGGCCCATAGACACTCACAACTATCCACGATCAAGAATGAAATGAAGATGTGTTGGTATCCCTGAGGACTAAAATTAGATATCTGTTGACCAGAAAAAAGTTCCCTACCAGTTATCTACACATCTATTTACATACAAAAAATAATGTAGTATCTGTCTCTAATATCGAAATAACTGAGTAATATTGCGGTATGTATTAAATACTTCATCGTCATTATCAGAATTGCGTTAGGCTGTTGTACAAAGGTTTAGCAAGAAATGCCACATATCATGGTCGTGAACCACCTGCATCCATTAACTTCCTGCATCTTGAATAATAATACCACTGTTCGCGTCGGCCTAACAACTTTAAGAAACAAAGTGATGAAAGAATATTGTTTTGTATAAAAAGGGAAATTACCAACGAAATCAAGTAAATAGTTTGTTAATATAGCTTTACAGTGTGTTTACAACTCTTAATATATTTGTATAGAATGTCGTTTTAATAATAGTTAATATAAAAAACTGATCGTTTAAGAAAAAATCGACCAATCACAGCGCGTCATATCGTAGAACTTTCTGGAAATTTAATTAACTGCGCAATAGTTTATACTAAACATAATGAGAATATTTTTGTGCTCTAAAAGAGTTGTAAATATGACATTTGGTTAGCATATGGTATATAGATTACGATAGTAAAGAAATAATTTGTATAATTAAACGCATTTGATAATTATAGAAAAATTAAAGAACGAATGTACCCATTTATTATGAAAATTTGGGACATTTCGTTTAATAACTTTTTAAAATGTAAATATATTGAATAACTTTTATCATATACTGATAAAGGACCAAAATGCCGAATTTATGATGTATAGCATATTAGTGTAAGATTTAACCTTATGTACAAAATATTGCAATTTATGCTAATTACATAGTAAAAATGTTTTAAAATAAAAAGGGGAAAACGGAAAATTGCAAGCGGCTCACTAAACAGTATAGCCGAAGTCTACCTTATGGGGGCGAAACCCAGTAACGTTGTAGTGTGAAGAACTACCAGTGACAAGCAGTAGCATCCCGTAGTAGCTGAAGTGACTAGTAGCAGAACATAGTGAACAGTGATAGTGAATTAAAAAAAGTGTTAGCTAGCCGGAAAAGGTCGTAACTGAAAATCGCAGTTACACATAGCCGAAAAAAGTGGCAACTGAAAATTCGCAGTTGCATATAGTAAAAAAGTGTTAGCTAGCTGAAAAAAGTGGTAACTGAAAATTCGCAGTTACATATAGTGAAAAAGTGTTAGCTAGCCGAAAAAAGTGGTAACTGAAAATTCGCAGTTACATATAGTGAAAAAGTGTTAGCTAGACGAAAAAAGTGGTAACTGATTTTCGCAGTTACACAAGTGATAAAATCAACTAGTTTTAGTTGATTAATAGCTGCTAGTCAGTAGTGTTAGAAAACCAGCTACTACCAATAGAAATTTTGATACTACCAATAGATAATTTGATACTACCAATAGATATTTTGATACTACCAATAGATATAATGATACTAACAATAGATATTTTAATACTACCGCACATTTTTTATTAAAATTTTTGAAATATATAGTGACGAACCAATAGTGAACAACCGTGGTTGAACAACCGTATTCAACAACCGTGGTCAATAAATAATAATTATAAAATTTCGCGACTAATCAATCAGTCGAACCGCTCCTCTGCTATTTGAATTTAAAAATCGTGCATTTTAATTTTGAACCTCAGTCCACAGTTTTCCAGTAGCACACACGGAGATGGCAGTGGAAGTATCCTCCGAAACTTATAGGTGTAGGACGTGAGCGGAGTATCTTCGACAACATTTACTCCGGAGAGTTACGCCCGTCCGGCACAACTACATTACTTGCTTCATAAAAAAATACTACTATACATCTGATGTTTGAGAAAGATTACTACTTTTTCACCTTGAGATATTAAGTATTATCTTTTATTAACTTTTTAAACTAAATTAAAGTATACCTCTTTCCATACCACAGATAAGCAACGTAACGTCGGTAACAAACTTTACAGCAATCTACTTTATTATCACTTAGCAATCTAGTACACAAATATCTTTCTCCGAGACAGAAGGAAATTATCATAATTGTTAACGTTTGCGGAACAATTTTAAGAAGCTGTAGGGCACATATGCTTTTTTGTTTAATAATTCAGAATCTCCTCCGACAAGTAAACTGTTACAATTGGTCTTAACTAGTCCTGTGTCGTAAATGGGAAAATGGTCTGGGAGACAGTTGTCATTTGCAAATGGTTTTCCCTAAGGCTAAAGTACCGGATGTTCTACAGCTGTACCATAGTGGTTGTTCAGGAGGCCACCTGGGAGTTAAACGAATTCTACTGAAGATCCGAGAACGGTTTTACTGGGTCCACTGTCGTGATGATGTCGAGGACTGGTGCCGCAAATGTACAAGTTGTGCGGCTGTAAAAGGACTTCAAATTCGTAGTAGAAGCGCATTGAAATCGTACAATGTTGGTGCACCATTGGAGAGGATAGCCATTGACGTTGCGGGGCCGTTTCTGGAAAGTGAAAGTGGTAACAAGTATTTCATGGTTGTGATGGATTACTTCACTAAGTGCTTCACTAAGACAGACGGGCCAGCAAACGTCTGAGAAGATGAAAACACGGTATGACCGCAAAATGAACAACAAATGGTTTGACAAAGGTTCACTAGTGTGGTTACACAATCCAGTTCGCAGCAAAGGGAAACCTCCTAAGCTTTAAGCTAAATGGGACAGATCGTACCAGATTGTCACAAGGATCAATGACGTAACCTACCGGATACAGAAAGGTGCCAGAGGTACTCCTAAGATCGTCCATGTGGATCGACTGGCGCGTTATTATGGGGCTAAAAATGCTCGGGACGAGCATGTCTTAGAAGGGGGCAGTGTTGCGCGCCACTATTAATGTCTTGTACATGGCAACACTAGTTACCCCTAGCGCCCTCTAGTGTCGAGTAGCAGAACTAGGAGAGTCAAGATCCTTCTAGAAATTTCGGGACCGATATGTACTCGAACATTCTAGATGTCGCTACAGTAGAAGGTTCTGGAAACTGAGGCCCTATATAAAGCCGGTATAGATTGAATAGGCGATATAAGCGAATACTTCGAAGTGATATAACTGCGAACTAAAGTGATCAGTAGTGCAATTGTGTTTTATTATTAGTGTGTTTTTAAGTTGTTATTAGTGTTCCGTAATTAAAGTATCTATCGTATATCGTATCAATTTTGGTAATTCAATCGGCAGTTTTTAATTGTCTCGAACTTCAAGCTCGTAACAATATATTAATACATATGACATTAACTGTAAACCACGAGATGGGCGACAGCATTTTCCTGAGTAAACATAACAAACTGCGGTTAGCGACCAGAGTTTGGCAACTATGACAAACGACCCTCCTATGAGGCAATCTATTTGAGAAGCCTATGTACAACATTGGACTTTTGACGGGCTGTAGTGGTAGTAATCCCAAGATTTTTTACAAAATATTTAATAAAAACCATACTTTTAAATGTTTTAATAATTTAAAGAGAGAGCGATAGTCTGGGAGGGTAGGGTAGGGTAATGGTGCTTTCGGTTTTTTTTTTATAGGAGAGGGGGCAAACGAGCACGCGGCTCGCCTGATGGTAAGGGACTACCGCCACCCATGAACAATTGCAACACCAGGGGAACCAGGGGAATTGCAGATGCGTTGCCTGCCTTTTAAAAAGGAGTAGGCTCTTTTCTTGTAGGTCCCTCAGTCGTATCGGTCCGAAAAACTCGCTGATGGTAATTGGTTCCACAAGGATGTTGTTCGAGGAAGAAAACATCTTCTAATTCGCACAGTGGTGAACCGCCAATCATCCAGATGGTGTGGATGGTATCGGGAGTTCAGCCGCGATATGCGTTCATGAAATTTGGCGGCTGGGATTAATCCGAACAATTCCTCAGAGCACTCCCCGTGGCAAATGCGAAATAAAATGCAAAGAGATGCAGCAACATCTCTTCGTAGTGCCAATGAATCGATTCGACCGGAAAGGACTCGGTCGTTGACGATTTGAGCTAATCTGCGTTGGATGCGGTCAAGTGGAAGGAGCTGGCACTGGAGAGCCCCTGCCCAAAGATGGGAATAGTATTCCATGTGAGGCCGAACCTGCGCCTTTTTAAGTTGCAGGTGGTGTGCCGGCATGAAATACTGTCCCTCTCTGCTAAACACGCCAAGCTTTTTAGAGGCCAATTTAGCCTTCTCTTCCAAGTGACCACGAAACTGCAGGTCACTCGATATGTCGACGCCAAGGATTCCGATACTGGTTGCGGCAACAAGGGGAGTGCCTTGAAACTGAGGAGATACAACAAAGGGGTTCTTTTTAGCGGTAAACGTGCAAACTTGTGTCTTCTGAGGTTTAAACTGGACTAGATTTAGTCGACCCCAATCTGAGACTTTCTTCAGCAAAGACTCGACTTCGGAACAAACTTGTGTCTGAAGTCGAGTCTTCCAGAGAAATATTGGCACGGCAATGTATAGAACGTCACCAGTGCTGTCATCCGCAAAGCAATGAATATTACCAGGTTACAACATATCATTGATATACAGAAGAAACAGCGGTGGTGATAGCACACAGCCTTGTGGAACACCAGCGTTAAATAGGCTTGTAGTCGGAGCATGCACCGTCTACAACGACCTTGATGCTCCGATCTGCAAGGAAGCTGGTGGCTAGTGGAAGACCCCCTCGGACTCTACTGCCTCCACCCATCTATGAGTCAGGTAGACCAGAAGATCACCAGCTCATCGACCCCGGCGATAACCGTATTGGCGGTCACTAATCAATTGGTGATCCTCAAGGTACCGGATGAGCTTTTGCTGTCGCATGGATGGGCCGGCTCGAACCGGGGTGGTACCACGACCTCACAGAAAACTAGCGTGAAGTAGAGGTTTACCTCTGCGTTTCGCTTGGTGAGTGCAGGTGGCCGGAGGCCCTTTTTACTGGAACTGAAGCATTCCATCTTAGTCCTCACGGGTGACAACGCATCTACATTTTGATTTGTAATAGAGGATAGATGTAGATGTCTATGGGCCGCAGCAACCACTTACCATCAGGTGGACTGTGTGCTCGTTTGTCACCCTTATCGTATAAAAAAAAAGTTAATAATGGATTCCATTATGGTGATGGCGATAGGCCTTTAGTTGGACGGGTCGCCTTTTTTAGGGGTCGGGTGGACAAAAGCTGTCTTCTATGATTTCAGGACTACGCCTTGGAAATAGCAGTACCGGAAAAGACACATTAGAACCGGCGCCAACTCCGGAGCACACGTCCTCAGCATAATTGGGGGGATCCCGTTAGGCCCACTCAACTTGTGGATGTCCAGGGAGAAGAGTGGACCGAGCGCTGTGAGAACCGCACATTCGGCATGGAGCACTCACACCGCGAGATAGTCAGCGGTGTGTTCCCCCCGTCATCAAGAGTCGCGTTGGACGCAAAAAGGGAGCTTAAACGGTTGGCTTTCTTTTTTGCGGCGTGGGCCAGTGAGTCGTCCCCCCAGTGCAGAGATGGTAGTGATAGCTTACAGAAATTCCCTTGAACAGCCTTGGCGAGAAACCAGAATGCACGGGTTTCCGAAGAAAGGCGAAATAGTTTCTCGCCAATTCTGCCTATGTGCTCTGACTTTTCCTTGGCAATAACTCTTTTGAAGGACCTGGAGGCGAAGTAATAATTTTTTTAAGCATGCTGATGTTTATATCCCGAGTCGCCGAAGTCGCAATCCAGGATTGAAAACACTCCTGCTTACTGCGTAATGCAGTCTTATAGAAGCGACCAAACCAAGGCTGAGATCTGCCTCCGATGGACACCACAGATGATGGAATAAATAGTTCCATTCCCTGTAGCACCACATCAGTGACAGAGTCAGCAAAAGCGCTGGCATTATCTGGCCTGAAGCAAACCCTTAAAATACCATGGGTAGGATGCAAAGAAAGACCGCATTCCGTCCCATCCGCCTATCTGTAATGCCAAACACGACGGCACGGCAAAATGCAGAACGCAACCGCGAGGGGAGCGTGAGTGGCACCACACTCCGTATCAGATAATGGCTCGAAGACCTGATATCCGTTCGGATGAGAGGTCAGCAGAAGGTCCAACATCCCTGTTGGACCTTGTATGATCGATCCTCCACGTCTGGAATCCGCGTAGGCGAAGTAACCAGTTGTGTCAGACTATATGCCAAGGCAAAGTCATAAACAGATCTACCCGCATGATCGGTTAAACGGGAACCAAGCCATTCGGCGTAGTGGGCGTTAAAATCGCCAAGGATCACGATCTCTGCGAATGGGACCTGTTGTAGCAAGGAATCTGTAGCCATTTGGACGTGGTCGATGAGTCGGTCTGTTTCGGCATTACCGCTATGGGACCTATAGAGGCACCCGTAGACGCGCGGATGTTTGTTGCTGTCTACGCGTAGCCAAAGGATGGACAGGTCCGAACCTTCAAGACTGCCGAGGCATCGAGAACAGATGTCCTCTCTGACGTATACGCAAACTCCAGCCCGAGGTACAAAGGAGTGCTCCAATTTCGTCGCCTTGGTATTGTTGCTCAGTTTGCCCCGAGCAGTTATTGTATTGAGCGGAATTATGCCCCTCCCCCAGAATACGCGGGGCAGCCTGAGCACCCACGCTCAGGAGTGGAATAAAATGGTCGTGGATGCTCAGCGAGGGATTCTCCAGGGTGCTGGTACCCTCCTGGGGTAGTCTTTGATGTAATTCTGCTACCATGTTGATGGGGGGGGGGGCAGAATTGGGCCTCCGGCCACCTGCACTCACCAGTCGAAACGCAGAAGCAGAGCTTCTACTTCACTTCACGCCGGTATTCTGTGAGGTCGTGGTACCAACCCGGCTCGAGCCGGCCCATACGTGCAACAGCAAAAACTGCCGCCTGGCTCTACCACCGTTAAGCTAGCTAGTTTCCTATTCCAATTGCTCCCGAGTGATAGACATACATGGGTTCATCACGCATGATTTTCAATAAGTATTACTTGTAATTTATATTGAATAAGTATATTTTAGTCAATGCACCTTTCATATTCCTTTACATTTTCCTGTTTAAATATATTAAGGAAAAATGATAAGTCAAGAGGTTTAAAGGCAAAGAAGACGCCCAGGCTGCTTAAAATTTCAACAACTTTAAGTATCTAAAGAAGAACGATCTGAGTTATTTTCAAGTGGTGTAGCTCTAACGAAAAGTGTACGTGCTCAAGGTGAATATTATATTTCAAAGAGATCGGTACTAAAAATAAAGAAAAAATATATCAATATCTAGTTTCTTTTGGCACGTTCCTCATTGCCACTTAGCATCTGGTAGAGAATTAGCTCGTATTTCAATTTTAAAAAATTATATATTTCGCTCATTGATTTTATTTTTATTTATTTTAAACTTAAATTTAACACCTTTAAGTAAAGGGTACACAGGGCTGATTTAATGCCATGTGGCATTCTCTGCCAGTCAAGCCGGGGTGCCAAAGACAATTGTTTGCAGGTGCAAAACATAACACATAAATAAAGTGTACGTATATAAACATTTATTTACATGGTACACAACACATATTTAAATATACACACTTAAAGCATACATTTTCCGATCGC